TTAATAACATTAACTGGACCGCAATTTTATGTGTTAAGTAATTTGGTTTCACCTGAGATACCATAAACAAAACATATGCGCTATTAATTGAGACATTATCGGCACATTTTACTATTGAGAAATCGTTTATTGCTGGCAGATATGAATTTTATAATTGCAGGCAAAAAGAGAATCAGACAATTAACGAGTTTGTAGTGGAAAAAAAGGAATGGCCTCGCAGTGCAATTTCGTCACGTTTTTGTACAAGGCTTTAAGAGATAAGATTGTATGCAACCTAACAAACCAACAACTAGTAGAAAAGCTATTAACCGAAGGGGATGCCTTAACTCTCGAAAACGCGGTTCAAATGGCGACTGCTTTTGAGAGTGCGGCTCTGGAAACGAAAAACATGTATCAAGGAGCTAACGTATTGTTAGTTAACAAAGGGAATAACCGTCGTTTGGAATGTAGTCGATGTGGAGGTGCGCATAACCAGGAAAAATGATTTAAAAAAGCTGGACATGTTACATATCTCAGAAACAAGGTCACATTGCTGCAAAATGAAAATCAAGAATAAAAAGAGCAAATAGGGTCAAAGTATTGTTAGATCAAAAGAAAGAAAGAATAATTAGGGCCGATTTTTCAATGGTTAGTTAAGCCAGATATGATTAATTCTTCAGTTAACAAGATTCTCAATTTTTCAATTGACAGGTAGGCTCAAACGTCTCGAAAAAAGTAGTGTGCTATTTTTACTATCACTCATTGAAAGTAGGATTGCCAATACAACGATCAGGTCAAAATGGTTTTCTATTTAACTCCGATCTATTTACATTTTTATGAATATTCACTTCCAACAACTTTTATTTTTCAGAAACGAATCAGTTCCAGCTTTACAGCAATTACTGCTTATTTTGAGGTTCTATGCGTGTGGTAGTTTCTACATAACTATTGGTGATTTTGCTGGAATACACAATTCAACTGTTTGCAAAATTATTAAAAAAGTGAGTGAAGCAATCGCTTCGCTTCGCCAGGAATTTGTTAAATTGCCAGCTAACACAGAAGAAATATTATCAGTTCAGGAAAGATTTTATAAAATTGCCCGATTTCCAAGGGTCATAGCTTCATTAGATTGTAATCACATCAAGATAATTTCTCCAGGTTAGTTTGTGTACTGATATAGCCCAATATTACTTTTCAATGTGTATGATGTCTGGTACTTATTAATTTCTTTTCAATAAAATTATCTCAATCTCTTTAGTTGCAAAACATTCCTCCGAAGTAACTCATAAAAAAGAATGATGCCCTATACAATAGTTAACATGTTCATAATCGTTATTATTTTTTAGGTGGAAATAATGCAGAAGACTACAGAAATCGGAAAGGCTTCTTCTCATTGAATGTTCAAGCTATGTGCACTAGCGACTTAATATTTGAAGACATTGTAACAAGATGGCCAGGTACAATGGCATGACAGTTTGATATTCTCAAACTCTGCAGCCAAGTTTCAGTTTGATAGCATCAGTTATCAGAATGGAGTTGTACTTGGAGACAGTGGATATTTTTTTAAACAACTATTTACTGCCTCCTTTAAGTGATCCTCACACAGAAGTTGAAAGGCTATATAATGAGTCTCTTATACGTACTCAAAATGTAATTGAGTTGCGGGGTTTGGAAAAGAAGATTTCCAGTTTTAAGTATAGGACTGCAGTGCCAAATTCCTCTCGCTCAGGACATTATTGTAGCAACAGCAATATTACATAACTTTGCAAGAAACAAAAATGAGAGAGAGTCACCTGTGGATCCTGAAGTCAACTTACCTCAATAAGCACAATTTGAAACAGTTGTTTCTGATCAGCTTGACAGCCAACGCAATAGCACAAGACTTTCTATGTTAGAATATTTTAAAAGTGTCTTGTCTATACTATACTTATAATATACTTTGTACTGTACTGTTTATAAATATTAAAATTTTACTAGATAGTGGTGCTTTTTATTATACCTCCACTTTTCAAGAATAAATAGCAACATAACAAGTATGCTAGCTAAATATACAATATTCATAGGCTAAGAGAACACCATAAAAGGTGGATCATATAAACATATATGTAAAATGTATATATTAATTTATTGACATCTAAAATGTTTGTTTCGTAATGCACCCTATTGTTAAGCAGACGCACAAGTATTTCATGAATTTCTTGTTTCCTTTTTTCAAAATTTTGAAGATTCTGCATTTTTAATTTATGCTCTTCGTGAACCAACTCATGCTCCCTTGCTGCAATTTCTCTTTGCAAGGTAACTTACTCTAAGCGAGCTTTGGTTAACTGATCTAGTTTGCAGTGACTCCTGCTTTAGTCACTTTTTGATTTACATGAGTTTTCAAACCTGGGCTAATTTTGGATTTTAATGCATTTGGATTCCATGTTGACCAATTATTCTGTACAGGTTCGTGGGCAATAAAGGCATCTTCTGAAAATAAAGTAAACATTTAAAGAAAATCATTTTTTAAATAAAAAGTATGCTGCCTGCTTTGATCAGTAATACATAGATAAGGGGTCACATACAAACTCAAAGCCATAATTAAATATAACGTACCATTTTCAGTTTCATAATTAATATTTTCCTTTCGAACTTGTAGGCTAAAATCATCTTCATCTAAAACATAAGCATAAAATAAATAATATTGAAATAGAATACTTTACCTAGAGCAGTGGTGGGCAAACTTTTTTAATGGGGGGCCACAAAGTTTAAAAAATTCTGGAGGAGGGCCAGAATTATAGAAAAGAATGGATTTTGTGTTAAAGCTTTTAATAATAATATTATAAAAACATTATGTGAGCATTGCAGTGCATAATACACAAATGTTACAAATTACCTTTTACCTTGAATAATAATTAATTTTACTTTTATTCGACGGCCCTGCCATGGTAGGCGTGTGAGACACATGGAATTGTTTTTGGTTTTCCAGAATATTTTCGAAAGCAGGTTCCAGCCGTGAAGAAGTAACTTTCAGCAGTGCGAAAAGGTGTCCATCAGTCAATCGGTTTCTGATTGAGTTTTTCTGAAATTTCATCGTCGAAAAAGTCTGTTCGCAAACATAAGACGATGCAAACATCGCCATAATTTTCTAGGCGTGAGCAATCATATTTGGGAATTCAGATTTAGGCAGGGCTCTATAAAAATCTAGTTTTGTGGAATTTAAGAACAATTGCTTTAAATAGGTACTGCACTGCATTTCAATAATTTTCAACTGCAATTCTGCAGATACGTTTTCCGGATCTACATTAAACGGCATCGAGAAAATATCTAGCGATGATTGAATGTTCTTAAAATCTTGAAACCTAGTTTCAAATTATGTGTGAAGTTTTTTCAACGCCTGACTGAATTCTTTTAGTTTGTTTTCACTCACTGGTGACATGGATTTTAAACGCGGAAAGTGAGTTAAATCGTTCTTCGCCATGCAGTTATAAAAAAGAAAAAGTTGAGTTTTAAATGATTTCAGACAACCCCAAGTCTCATCAATAAATTGGTTCTTGCCTTGCAATTTTTTATTTAATTTGTTGTAGTGTTCGAGCAAATCGGTAAAAAATGTAAAATCGGTACGCCAATCTTTGTCTTCGAAGATTTGGAAATCCGACCATTTGTCTGTTTTATTCTTTAAGAAATCATCTATTTCCTCTTTTAAATTCCAAACCCGTTCAAATGCATATCCACAACTTAACCATCTTACTTTCGTGTGGTAAAGAAGGTCGGAATAATCTGCATCGACTTCAATCTGAAATTCTTGGAATTGTCGGTGTACCAAGCCACGAGATCGAATAGTATTAATTATTTTTAAAACCACATTAAGTACATGGGTAATATCTATTACAGCTTTACAAAGGACGTCCTGGTGAATTATACAATGTAAAAATACAACATCGTGATTACGATTCTGGTTCCGAAAAATACCTAAAAATCCCGCGTTTTTTCCAACCATATTTGGGGCTCCATCTGTTGTTATATTGCGTAATTTTGAAATAGGCGCATTTAAGTTTTGGAGACCTTCGGAAAATTCGTTATAAATTATTTGCCCTGTCGTTTTTCCTTTTATCGATTGCAAACAAGCTAGCTCTTCTGTAATATTAAATTCGTCGTCAACACCTCTAATGAAGATTAATAATTGAGCAGTATCACTTCTATCCGTACTTTCATCCATCGTCACGGAAAAATATTTAAAGTTTTCTATACGCTGCCTTAATTGAGTCGACAAGTTTGATGCAATAGCATCAATTCGCGTTGTTACTGTTTTTCGCGATAAGCTGACAGACTCAAACTCTTTAATTTTTTCTGGACATAAAATTTTACTCATACTCACCATACAATCTTTTACAAATTCTCCTTCCGAGTATGGTTTGTTATTTTTAGCTATTTCATAAGCCACTACATATCCAGCCAGTGTAGAAGCCTTTTGAGCAGTGTTTTGCTTTATAAACAGATTCCGTTGAGCAGATATTGTTTTTTTTTAGATTCTCCGCATTTATCTTTTTTTCTGCATCATTCATCAAAGCATATTTGGTTTTTGGATGTTTGGTGTTAAAATGACGAGCAAGGTTAAAATCTTTAAATACCGCCATTGCTTCATTACAAATTAGACATACTGGCTTACCGTTATATTCCGTAAAAAAGTATTTCCAAGCCCACTCTTCTTTAAAGAGACGACACTCGGAATCGACTTTTCGTTTCTTATACGCCATTATCCTAAAGGCGCAGCTTATTTTTTCAACGATTATGAATGTAAAGCTATACGCGAACAAGCAAGAACAAGAGACAAAATTAACGAACACGTGCGGCTCGGTCAGTGACAGCTGGCGAGTGGCGCTGGCGACTGAATTCACTCGCCCCCGCCGCCCGCGCCGATCATTTCACCACTCTGCGTCCCGTATTACGCACAACATTAATTACTCGGCTAGTTTAGCTTCACCTATTGGTTATGCATCTATTATTCTACCAAGTAGAATCTACTTTTGACTTCTCGACCGTCAAAACGTAATTATAGCGGGCCATATACTATCTATGTCGATGGATCCTCGGCGGGCCGGATTAAATACTTTTGCGGGCTGGAGTTGGCCCGCAGGCCGTACTTTGCCCATCACTGACCTAGAGTGAAAGGATATATTATTGTTTTTCAATGGTTGCAGTGTTTCCGGGGCAACTTTGTCAACCTCTTTCTCTTTTGGTTCTAAAAAGAAAACAATAATTATAGATAGAAACTTAAAAAGATGCTTAATTGTACCAAGTGCATTATTACTTTCCATCATAAATAAAACATAACTAAAACATTATTGACTGCGTACCTTGTTTACTGTCACTGTCATTGCGAGCATCTAGACCCATGATATTGGAGCATATCGCCATAACTTTTTCCTCAATGTCCGTAAAACCTGACCTAGATGGGGACCCGCCAACAGTTTTATACAGCTCCTGTCGACGTTTTGTTAGTATCTTTTTTAATGTTCTCATACTTAAGCTTTAAGCTCTTCGTACTACGTGCTGTTAGGCTGCCTGTCCATTGATGCGGTGCGAGGCAGCGGAGTGGAGCGAGCGAGTATGGCGGAGCGGAGTTGCGGACTGTGTCTGTCCATTGACGCGGAGCGTCAGCGGAGCGGAGCGAGCGAGTAATGCGGAGCGGAGTTGCGGACTGTGCGGAGCTAGGCCGAGTTCACGGGACGATTCATTTGAGCGAAGGGCAACGGGCGGTCAAGTCAGTTATACGCGATATATTACGGAAAACAGACATGTTGTCGACACAAAAGTTGAAATGTTACTACCTCGCATTGCTTGAGGAAGAAGAGCTGGACACGGAAGAAACCGAATTATTTACAACATACTATATTAATAACTCTATAAGAAAGCATAGATTTTGGTTAAGAAATCATATCAAGTATCGTTCAGTGCATGGTGAATATTATACTTTTTTCCGAACTGCTGATGAAGAAACTTTCAAGAATTCTTGTAGAGTTTCACGATCTACTTATGAACTGCACTCTCTGGTTCAACCATATATTCAGAAACAGGACTCAAATTTCCGAAATTCCATCAGTAGCTGTGAAAGGTTAGCAGTGTGTTTAAAGTAAGTACTAATTTTAAAATCATAGTAACTTTTTTTATTTTTATGTTGACGCTGTGACAAATAATTCAAAAACTAAAATTAATACATATTATTATGCACATCTTCATCCGAACCCGATAGCTCTACTGCAAGCGTTTGATTATTTCCAGTGTTCTGTGTTTCTGGAAAATTTGTAACTGTAGCAGTGGATATATTGTTGTAAACTTGTGGAAATGTTGAAAAGAGCGTTCCAGCATTCTGAGTTTCTGGAAAATCTGGAGCAGTAGCAGTAGACATATTGTTGTTAACTAGTGGAAAATTTGAGAAGTGTTCAGTAGTAGTCTCAGTTTCTTCAACATGCGAAGAACTTGCGGCATTGTTACTGATATTTATATTGTCTGATGTTGGTGTTGAGCTTGTAGAATAACCATTATTATTCGGAGAATACCAAGACTGTTGCAGATTAGTTTCTTCTGCTATCATTACAGCATTGAAACATTTTTTTTTAATTTGAAGCTGTATTAACTTTATTGTTGACGCAGCTAAATTTAAAAAATATGCTTCTATTTCATCGTACTTGTCCCTGGCTTCTATCGTATTTTTAACGTTCTTGTCTTAAAAGTTCGCGATTTTCTTGATTTTTTCTCAATAAATCTAGGATTTCATCTTTCTTTCTTTTTCTCGATGTGGATGGAATCGTATCAGATGCTGTCGAAATATTGGAAACATTGATGGCAAGATACCGTTTAATTCTTGAGAACTATCATCAGTATTTGGCTGATTTGAATTCTTATTTGCCGAGTCTTCCAAGGATTCAAAATTTGATGCTCGATCTCTGTTACACGTGTAAGGTAAAAGAAATGACATGGCGTTTTGATATTTCCACTCCTTGCGTTGTCTTCTAGCCTGTCCACTCCTTGTAGCGTTTTGACGTTTTAATGCATCTCGATGGTTGTCTCTAAGTTGTTTCCATCGGCATTTGGCAGTTGTAACTGAAGCAATCAACAAATACATCATTTTATTATTACATACACAATATTGTATTAAGTATATACATAAGTAATTTTTAATATATTATTAAACGTTTAATTTTCTATTATACAGATATTTAGCAACCGGCCAGTCATTTACGGGGATAGCAGAGAATTTTAGAATTGGATTAAAGAGTGTGTCAAGAATTATTGAAGAAGTTTGCGATGTTCTTTGGAACGTATTGTAACCTCTTGTTATGCCAGAACTAACAGAAAACGACTGGAAAAAATTGCAGAAGATTTTAATAACCAATGGCAATTCAAAAATTGCTTAGGTGCTCTTGATGGCAAGCACGTATGTATATATCAAGGCTCCTTCGAAAACTGGGTCTTCATTTTTCAATTATGAAAAGAGGTTTTCTGTAGTTTTGATGTGTTTAGCTGATGCCAGAAGGAAAATCATAATGGTTGATGTAGGATCTATGGGAAGATTTTCAGATGCAGGAAATTTTGATGACAATATTTTCGGAAAACGCCTAAAAGAGGGGAGATTAAATTTACCTCAGCCCGTACCACTTTATCAGGGTGGAGAGCCATTACCATTTGTATTTATAGGAGACGAAGCCTTTCCATTAATGGAAAAATTTGGCCATACCCCCATGATGGACTGAATTCAGAAAAAAAAGTATTTAATTACCGATTGTCACGAGCACGTCGTATAGTTGAAGCAACTTTTGGGGTACTGGCACGAAAGTGGTACGTGTATTATAAAGATTTCGAATGCAAAATCGAAACAGTTGATAAAATAATTAAAACAACATGTGTGTTGCACAATTATTTACATGACCGACAACCGGATTACGTAAACAATAACGAAAATAACAATGAACAGATATTAATCTCAGTGGATAACAGAACAGATACACATAATTCTAGAAACGAAGGTTACCAAGTTCGAGAAATGTATTGTTCTTACTTCAATAATCAGGGGATGGTTCCATGGCAAGACACTCGCATTTCGTCACGAATTTCAATCAACAATTAGAAAAAAGTAAAATAGGTCAAGTTGTCAAGTAAAAAATTAAAAAAGTAAAGTGGACTCTTAAGTTATTACGACGTTATATACTGTTCAATCCCATGTTGCCCCCTTATCTCAAATCACGCTTTAAATTTCTCTCATCTGCGCATGATCTCTCGCTTCGCTCTTCTAATAACTTACGATTGTTCATTCCTCCCAATCTCACTAAATTCAATAGTCAATCCTTTACAGTACACGCTATAAAACTGTGGAACTCTCTACCTGAATCTATCAGACGGGCGAATTCGTTAAACTCCTTCAAGTATCAATTAAAATCCCATTTCCTCTCTAACGTTTAGCCTGCTCTTCTATTTTCTTTTTACACTTCTCGCTTTCTGGTTGTCACTTGTGTTTTGAGCATTTTGTTTGTATTTATGTACTTTTTTTTTATGATACTTTGCTGTTGCAACTGTATTTGGTTTTATTTTGTATTATTTGATTTGTTATTTTGTTTATGCGCAATCTGCCATCTAATGTTTGTTTTTTTCCATCCAATGCAAGGTTGCCTGGAAGAAATCGCTGCCTAGCGATAAGGCCGCCTTTTGTACGTTTTAATGTATTGATTTATGTTTGTTTATGTAATTTTAATATGGTTTGTGCAATAAAGAGTATTTATTATTATTAAGTAAAGTAAAATACAGCTAATATTACGAAAGTATGTGGCAAATCAAGATTGAGCGTGGGCGTGATTGTTTGTGTTGGAGATGTATCTGTGTATGCGCAGCAATGCAAACCGTAAGCAAAAAATAAAACTACTTAAAAACAATACTTAAACACATATAAGACTAAAACACAAATAAAATTCACACGCGCTTACGAATTGCGAGAACTGTAAGCTATGGTATAAATTTATAATAAAAATGTATATTTACTGTCCTTTATGTTCACATGCTGCATCTTTTGTTTCGTTACATTTATAAAATTCTGAAGTCGTGTCCCAAAGGCACGGAAACTTTTTTACGCTTTCGATGAGTCTTTCATCCATTTAAAAAAAAGTATTCTTTACAAGAAAGCGAACGCACGTACTGGGCAAACTTCAGCGGCATACTATCCCACCCCCCGAGGCCGGTCCGTTCCCCCCCCCTTCACTCCGCCTCACTCTGCCGCCCCGCTCTGCCGCCCCGCTCCGCCGCCTCGCACTGCTACCACGAGCAGTTTCCAAAAATGTATGAATTTTAGAGCCGGCTCGCAAATCCCTCTCCACTGGAGCGGAGCAGAGCTTTATGCAATCCTATTGGTTAATATTTCTTCGTTTCTCCGCGTTAATGGACAGGCAGCCTAAACGCGCGCAACTACAGCAGTCTGAAGGATGCTATACAAGCAGCCAAGGACGAGGAACATGATGGTATTTCCATCACGGTCTGGTAACATTATACATGTATCTAAATATGGTCGTGGATTCAGTACAAATAACCGTTCGTGCGGGTATTACATATCAAGAGGGAACTATATTAATAACAACGCTAATTATGGTCAATATATTAGCCATTATCACATGCCTGCAAGACGCAACAATTTCTCTAAATATAGGGGTCAAAATCGTTATTCATCTTCTAATAATAGTTAAAGATTCCAATCAGTTTCCTGACTTTTAGCACCGTATTCTGTCATGTAGTGGTAAAGCTAAATATTTGGTACTTTATTTAAATAACGTGAGATATTATTGGCTTATAGATACTGGTCTAAAAAGTGAAGCAGTATCTAATAGTGTACCAATACACAAAGATAATACTATGATATAGTACAGACAAGTTCCCAAGGCTATGTCAACTTAAATCTCAGTATAGGTATAATATAAAATTTCAACATAGTTTTATTATTATTAACTCATTACCATTTTGGCTTAGATTTTCGAATTAAATACGAAGCTACTATAAATATTAATACATTAACACTTTACGATAGTGCAATAGAACATCTTTTTAATTTGATAGGACTAACTATGTTCTAAAAATCCCTGCTCGTTGTGAATCTATGCACTTTATTGAGGTAGAAGAAAATTTTAATAATGATGTTATAACATGCGGAAAAGAATTTACGAAAGACGTGTTTCTGGCAAGTTCAATAGCAAAAGTAAAAAGCAATTGAATTCCTATAAAAATTTTTAATGTTACCGAAAAAGAAATATGTTTACCCTATTTTGACCAGAGTTACATCTTTTAAGTGATTATAATATTTGCGATTTTAACAAGTGTAATGTACACCTTAATAGGGTTGCAAAGGTATTAGGCGATTTACTTAAATTACTTAGATAACGAAGAAAAGAAGTCTATTGAATCTATTTGCACAAAATATTCTGATATCTTTCATGAACCAGGTGACCAATTAACAACAACAAATATATACGAACAATCTATAACTCCTAATTACAATTCCTCACCTATCTATATTAAACCGTATAGATTACCACAAGCTTAAAAGCCTGAAATAAATCGTCAGATCAGGGACAGAGAGCTCCTGTTACAAAACCATGTAGGTTTAACAGATTTATCTAGAAATAAGTACTTAGTGGACAGTGTTTCGTGAGACCTCTACTGTTTTAAGTTTAAATACGTTTATTAATAAAGGAATTACAGAAATAGGTCTCACGAATTAATTTTGTAGGATTTTTTTTTATGAGTTTTTAACTTGTAATAATTTTCATTATTCAAATTCTATTTTCTATTCTATTTGCCTCATCATTGATCACTATTTCATGCAATTAGTTTACCATCTGCACTTGTACCTTCGCTTCGCTTCTCCATCTCCTCGGCTGCAGTTTCACTGATGCATTGAACAATATTATAATACCCGCTGTTACGCTATTCCAGGGCGCACCCCTACGGCAAGGCCGATTGGGTATAACGAAAACCTCGTTCGGACATCGGATCAGAATGTCATCCGCTGGTACACAGCCGCTGTGGACGGAGTCCTCCTTTGCCAGGGCAGTGGTATTCGCGATTTTTTTATTGCACATCCGATCGACGAAAAACGAAACTACCCCCTGTTCTAGATAATGTTAATAATTGTTAATAAAATTGTAAAAACTAAATAATCTATCTCATTTACCATTACTAGCTCACCGGTACATTGGCGCCTGACTAAAGGTGTATTCGAGATTGGTTGGCGCAGTTAAATTACTATAAGCATCAAATAGCTTTCTTTGGTGTTGGCCTTAAGGCGAGGATTAACAAAAATGGGCATTTGCCAGGAATAATATCTCCAAAACGCTTGGTTCAAAAATTATGAAAAAAAAATATATAAATCATCAACTCTTTATCTCCATAAAGAGCGTTTAAAACGATACTATCTTTAAAAATTCTATATATAATGAATTAAAAACGGAACGCTGTCGTTAAACTTCCAGGAATAATATCTAATAAACGGCTACGAATTTTGGAAATGTTTAAACACTAATAGAAAGGTAATTAGAAGTACTCTAAAAAGAGCGTTGCTCATGTAAATCAGTTAACATTCTCTGAACAAACTATCGATTCTATCGAAATTTCAATCGATATATTGCGGAGGGGCTGTGTGCGGGCGCGCGCGGCAGTCTTCCGCTGGCATTCCGACGAGTAGCTTGTGTCGCTCGTTGCTCCAAAATACTATATCGATACCGGAAATATCAATTAATGTAAGGGACATACCACGGTTTTTCAGGAGAGCTAAAAACGATTTCACTTTCCGTAATCTGTCTATATCTTTTAATTGTTTGGTCCGATTTAGACGATATCTAGGGCAAAGTTTCTTAGATTTTTGCATTCTTTAATGCTATAAAATCAAAATATAAGAAAAGTTTCTATTTTCCGAGATAGCTTGTCCCTTACATTAAAAAAAATATTTACTTGTGCCTTACACTACTTTTATTTAACTTGGGAGCTGTGACAAAATAATGCAGGAAACGTAAAGATATTAAAAACTTATATCAGTTTAATGTAAAGGTAAAGGACTCTTTCGAAATGAATTAGGATTTACCTTTCACAAGTATAATTTGATATCAATTAGGAAGCTTATTGTCATTGAATTAAGATCTATGGTTTACACACTCGTGCTATTAACAGATTACCAATAATATCTAAGCGTGTACCTATTTTATTTTAACAGCTAGTATGATTATAATTATTTTTTAAATTAAACTAACTATATATTTGTGTATTTTTTTTATTGTTTCAACATCAATCATCAAAATCGTTATTTTAATAGATACAGACATTTTTCTATATGTAAACAAAAGTTTTCATTGTTTTATTAGAATACTATTTAAGCTGACAGGTAAAAATCTTCTTACTATAAACCAAAATTAAATCGAACAAAATTTTGCTAGAAACAAGATTTATCTTAAAATATTGTATCATTAAACTGCACTTCTTACAAATTTATTAATACTTAAATATCTTGTAAATCAACACTGTTATTGGTTTAAAATAACATTATTATAAAGATAGAGTATTTAACTGTCTTGAATCAACATCTTTTTGTTTAAATATAACATTATTTTAGCAAATGAAATCTTTTACTACCCGTAGAAATATTATAAATACAATACTAACCAATGTGTGTAAGTACCAGAATTTAATATAAACAAACCTATAAATTGACAGTAACCGTACTCCCTACTTACTAATTCAATACAGTAGAACTCCAATTATCCGAACTCCGACTATCCGAATCACAAAAAATTGTCCAAAAAAAGTCTAAGTGCGCTATTATTCTCCCCCCCGCGAAGCCAGTGTTTGCGCGTCAAGTCTTGACTTGACTTGTCTTAACTTGCCGTTGTGCCTACACTGACTTCCCCCCGCGTGTGTAGGCACAACGGCAAGTTAAGACAAGTTCCGGCGCATTGCAGTCACGGCGCATCTGCCATTGTTTGTTTTGATTAGCCAGTGTGCTATTGACCTTGCTCGAGGACGCTACTCTTTCGCTACGGCTTACTTTTGTTTGTGCGTGTACAATACTGTATTGTTTTTATACCATGGCTTCGAAAAGAAAACGTGTTGTGCTATCGTTAGCGGACAAACTGAAAATTATAGAGCAACTCGATAAAGGTGTAACGGGTAAGAAGTTGTCTGAGATTTATGGTGTTGGACAAGCAACAATTTCTGACATTAAAAACAGTAAGTCAACACTTTTAAACTTTGTTTCGGTGCTTGAAAATGAAGATGGAAGTTCCTCCAGGAAAACAATGAAGACAGCAACCAACAAAAATTTGGAAGATGCCGTGTTTAAATGGTTTTTGCAGCAACGTTCTATGGGAAATCCGATTTCAGGTCCAATCCTTTGTGAAAAAGCCAAAATCTTTGCAGAAAAACTTGGTTATTCATCTTTTAAGGCTAGTAACGGCTGGCTAAGGAATTTTAAATTCAGGCATGGTGTACGCGAGTTAGATTGGCTGGTGAGAAGCTTTCAGCAGACTCTGCAGCTGCTGAAAATTTTATTGAAAAATTTAAAACTGCATCAGAATCCTATGATCCGGAGTTTGTTTATAATGCCGATGAAACTGGCCTTGTTTGGAAAGCATTACCAAAAACCACTTTGGCTTCTAAAAGGGAATCTAGTGCCCCTGGACATAAGGTCAGTAAAGAACGTGTTACAGTGCTTAACTGTGCCAACTCCACTGGAAATCATAAACTGCCACTTCTTTTCATAGGAAAATCAAGAAATCCAAGAGCATTTAAAAACGTAAAAAAACTTCCACTCTTCTACAAAAGTCAACCCAAGGCCTGGATGACTGCAGCTTTGTTTACCGAATGGTATGATGAAGTGTTTATTCCTGAAGTGAAAAAGCACCAAAAATCGGTGGGAAAAGAAGGCAGTAAGGTGCTTTTAATTGTTGATAACGCACCCACTCATCCTACAGCAGAACTGTTGGAAAGAGAGAATGGGCAGTTCAAAACGACGTTTTTGCCTCCCAATGTTACAAGTTTGCTGCAACCCATGGACCAGTCTGTTATTGAAACAATGAAGTACCATTACAGAAGGCAACTGCTGAGAAAACTGCTGAACGAAGGTGCTGAAGATGAAGAATTGGTTTTGGCAAATCATAGCAAAATAAATTTAAAGGACTGCTGTTACATGGTAGCGGAAGCTTGGAGTTTGGTTACGGCAGTGACGCTAAGACGTGCGTGGAATAAACTGAAAGGCCTACCGTCTGAGAAGAACAAAAAAAAAGAATCTGAAGAAAATGAGAAACAAGAATATGGAGAGGATGATGATGATAAAGATGCGTTGTCACTAGAGGAAATAAGAAAAATGATTGTAAAAATTCCTGGTTGTACAGAAGTAAGTGCTGAAGATGTAGGAGAGTGGATGGCTTGTGACACGTCTGACCCTGGTTTTCAAATTCTCAATGACGATGAAATTGTTGTAAGTGTGAGAGAAGATGTTGAAGTGGAAGTGGAAGAAGAACTTTCTGCTGATGTTGAAGTAGACGCTGGACCATCAGCTAGTGAAGCATTTGCCGGCCTTGAGACTGCTTTGAAGTGGATGGAGCGTCAGCCCGAGTGTGACCACTTGCAACTGCTCACTGTCAAGCGAATGCGTGACCTGGCTGCCCGAAAACGGTTGAAGACCGCAAAACAGCTTACATTGACGGAGATGTTTAAAAAACAATGATTTTTATTTCTAAACTTGTTCATAAGTACATTTTATTTATATTTAAAACATGTGAAAATTTCATGTTTCTTTCATTTAATTCAATAAAAAAATAGTGCAATATCAAAACGTAGCTTTTATTCTCTCCAATGGCAATTTTTTTTTAAAAATCCGATTATCCGAATATTTGATTATCCGAATGGGTCCCGGTCCCCATCAATTCAGATAATTGGAGTTCTACTGTACAATCATCTCGAAATAAATCAACAGGCTTTATTTTAACTTTAATAAATTAGGTAGCCTCCTAACCGGACTGCCTCTTTGTTCACATTGACCGAATTAAAAAGTTACTTTTTTTGTCAACTGGATCCTCATAGAGCTACTTAACTGTAAAGTTTTATGTGATTTTATCTAGCTCTTTTAGCCGGAAGCAATTATACAAAGTAACAAGCATGAATTCAATAACAATCTCCTTTTCGATAATAAAGTTAGTATAAAATTAATGCACCTAGTCAAAGTTTATCCGTATTGTTGTAGCTTATGAGGATGTAATTGAAATAATAAAAATATTTAAGACTATAATTTAGTTTGATTCATTTGATTCATCATTATCCTCGTCATTTTCATCAGTATCATTGAGAACATCGTGGACTTTTGCTTTATTTGGGAGGCGCAAATATTCATGAATCTCTTTGGAATAATACCAGTTTCACATAATTTTTTGAGATCATTATATTTTGCCACTGAAATTGGCAATCGTTCCCTATAAAGGGGTGATAAAATATCATCCGAACTTCTACTTCCTTCTTTATTTTCATTTACTTTATCTGAGTCTTTTTTCTGTTTACCTTTATTTGTCCTCTTTCCTATTCCTTTTGTCTGGAGAGAACAATATTATAAGTGGTACCATTTCCATGCATTGTATATTTCACTTGCATATGAGCCAATGCAGATTTTTTAAAAGTGCACACTCTTATTTGTTTCATACGCAGATCTTTGTTTTTAATGGTTGCTGGAGTAAATATGGTATTCGATAGATTATTAAAGTTTATAAAATCTGTATGTTCCTATACCTCTACAGAATATGGCTTTGGGCGCTTTCTGGCAGTCTCCATAAACGTGGCCCATTGAGATGGTGCCCAAATAATCAAATTTTTTACTTCCCTTTCAATTACAGCGTGCATGCTATCGACCGGCATGTATGTATGGCCAGGAAGGAGGTAGTTTATTTGTATTGTTTGTAGATTTTGAGATGTTTGCAGGAAATATTTGAACAGGGATAATATCACTCTATTTTTATTCTGTCCCGTACAGTTATCACAGTAAAATATTAATGTTTTTACTCCTCTGTTCTCAACTTCTTTTAAATAACGAGTAAGGCATGTTGCTATTTCACAACTTCCTCTTTTACCGTCTCCTTCCCCCCATGTATAGCAATATCTATTTTGTGTTTTACACTCGTATACTGTAAAATTATATACAGCATACAATATGATTTTGAATCTGTTAGTAATAATAGTGTAGGTGCACTTATTTGTATTTTTTTTAAAACCAACTAAGGTAAGGGACAAATTTTACAAATATATTTTCCGTGCAAATGATGTAAAGGCTAAATTCAAAATTTAAATAATAAAAGTCTTATGTAAGAGACATATTTATTTATAAATTGAGATACCTTATTGAGATTATTAGAGAGGATAAAAAACGTCCTTTAAATTATTTTTTTCTTTTAAAATGTGCTTAGCCTATCAAAAAATCTTACTGTAAGGGTCCTTTTTTTGAAAGATATCGTAATTTCAAGTATACCAGTCGATGGAGCGGAACGAGCCGATTTCAATGATATATATAACTCATTTTGCCCAAAATGTCCCTTACCTTAATTGATATTTCCGGTATCGATATGCAATCGGCACGAATTTACCATAGTGTGCGTGTAATGTGTTTTGATATTTATCCTTGAATTTGTAGTGTTTATTTTTTTTGTTTTTGCGCTCGGACGCTTTTGTGAACGTTATTATTGTGAATATTTTGTAAATAAGTTTAGATATAAGTTTGTAATATAATAAACATACATATTATTGTTGTACGTAAAAATGGTACGTCCAACATTGAAAAGAAAAAAATGGGCTGCGAAAGCTATAAAAATGAATTCTACCATGTAAGTATCTCACTTTTTTTTCATTATGTATGTAGTATTATATTTATTAGTCATTAGATATATGTACCTATGTAGTTTAGATGTAGATGATATGTATACTTTCTGTAGATAGTTATTGTAATACCTTTTCACACTTTTTATTATTTTTTTTTATGTATCATTTATATTATTTTATGATATAATTTTATATCTGAATTGATATCTCACATATTTTTTTATGTCTTACAGATAAAAAGATATACATCGGAAAATACTCCAGGCAAATCCATTCAAGGTCGACGCATAATTGATACTAACTATTTCTATTCTAATCTGCAAGCTATTTCCAAACACGGTCCAATGGACTGTATTTTGGCTTGCATTGAAATTGTAGCAGTACGACGAGTGGGACTGCATTCTAAATTTACTCTGAAATGTAAAATGTGTCAAGAAACATTTTACATAGAAAACGAAGCTCCAGGTGACATCGGAATAAATGATTCTGCAGTTGCATGTGGACACTATCAACTGCAAGAGTTTTCTGCAGCCTTGAATTTACCAATTATAACATTATATACATTTAACACAAGTCATTCCAAGTTAACAAATCATTGGGAAAAAATTTCATTAGCATCTATGACTGCAGCGGCTCAAAAGGAACGAGAAATGGCAATAAAAGAAGGACGCGTTGATAAAAATGGCGTACCTATTATCGATGTTATAGTAGATGGATGTTTTTCAAAGAGAACATACAAAAAAAAAATATTGAATGCAGGAACGACCTTTTACGTAATTTATGTAATAAACTTGCAGCTTTACAGACGGACAAAAAATATTTACTGAATACCCAAAAAAGAATTTAAACTTTGAGAAAGACAATCAGAAAAATGATTTCCACTTATACAGCTGCAACAGAATCAGAACGAAAAATAACATAGAAATGTTGGATAATGATTTACTTTTGGCTCATTTACATGCTTTCGAAAATCATAATAGGTGCAAAACATATTTTTGTGATTTAGATAGAACCAAGCCACCAGGTCTAGAGAATGATTTTTATGTGAGCATACTTTGGACAAAAATTTGCCTCTTATTGTCAACTTTGACCTCACACTGTCCTAGTTTAATCCATGACATCGATTCAAATACTGTTGAGAGATTCAATAGTATAATAGCCAAACTCGTAGGAGGCAAAAGGATAAATTTTAGTTTAAGAGGATCCTATTAGACAAGATGTCAAGCTGCTGTTGTTTCTTTTAACACACAGAAAGTTTTATCATCTGTATTTAAATCAATTGCGGGTCGTAGTCCTCGTGGCTCTATAAAAAACCTTGAAAATAATCGAAAAAAGAAACTGAAAAAGACGAATTTGATTCCGAGGAAGAAAAATAATTTCGAAAGGAGAAGATATACATTATGGCGAAAAATGCGAAATACCTGACATGTTACCCCATATATTCGAAAAAGAAAAAGAAACTTTTTTACAAAATTTGGTAAAGACTAGACGTGTGCGCCGCGCCGCGCCGATGACCAACGCCGCCGATCATGACACGCCGCCGTTTCTGTGAGAGTAGCACAAATTTGGTTTAAGCGTTTTCAGCCCGGAAATTTTGGTATTAAGGTGTACTTCGCTCCAGTAGATCTTTTATGAATAAAATGGATGCCAGTTTTGAGAAACTGAAGCAAGATAACTGGTGATGAAAACTGGATCACGTTTAGGTCTCTTTCTTTAGGCATTGCCAGGTTAACATCACGCAAGGATTGTCAAAACAACTTGTCGCGGTTTCTTGATTAGAAGCCCCAAAATTTCTAAAGATTTTATCATGTCCCTACCTACAAGATGGCAAAAAGTTATCGACCAAAGAGTACCTACATAAATACTTTAGTTAAATGTAAGTAAACTTTATTAAAAATGTTTAGAACTATTTTTTCTTGAGCATTTTTCATGCTTAAAAAATCCACTTTGTCTGAGACTTGAACCCATGAACTTGGACCCATGGTTTGCTAGAAAATATTTTTTAATATCATTATGACTACGTTACATAATGTAGAAGAGAATAGTTTGCCATATTTGAATGTTACTTAAAAGGTGTTATTAGTTTAGTAGCTCTTATATTTGTTATGTCAATAAAGGCATTCTGAATTGTTTAAATTTTTATTTTCCATCATTTAACATAACGACGCCGTTTACGCCGCCATTTACGCCGCCGCCACTGAATTTTTAGCTCCACGCCAACGCCGAAGATTTCGGCATCGGCGCACATGCCTAGTAAAGACCAAAGCAGAGAAGCAGAAAATAGAGAGAGATACTGTACTTCATAGCTCATGTAGTGAGTGGCTTCAACTGAGGCGCAATATATTGACAACTTCAAATTTTGGGAGAATTATTAAGAGACGACACGATATAAGCTGCTAAAATCTCGTTCGAGATATACTTTACAAAGACTCCATTGCACATGTACAAGCTGTTAAACATGGCAAAGACAATGAAGAAAAGGGATTACGCCAGTTAGAAAAACAAGAAAATGTGAAAAGATTAGCTTGTGGTCTCTACATAGACGAAAAGTGTCATTTTCTTGGTGCAACACCAGACGGTATTATAGACGATGATACTATAGTTGAACTAAAGTCCAATTACTGTTTACAATAAAGATATAAGAGATGTTGTTAAAAATAAGAAATTACCATTTTATAAAATTAAACACAACAATGAACTTGTTATGAATAGAACCCACAATTGGTACTACCAAGTACAGGGTCAACTAAATATTACAAACAAACAGAAATGTTTGTTTGCAATCTGGTGCGGAGAAAATTTTCCATTAAAAACTGAAATAATTTTAAAAGATGAAATCTTTTGGGAGAATACGATGAAGCCAAAACTAGTGCAATTTTATACCGAGTGCTTACTTCCCGAATAAGTAGACCCCAGATTTCCTCGAAATATGAAGATAAGAGACCCTTTGTATATACAAGAAGCAATGCGTAAAAAAGAAGAGAAAAGACAATCACGAAAAAGAATACATACAGGAGAGCAAAGTGCAAACCAATAATACGAAGAGCAAATAATAGAAAAAGAAAATGAAGAAATATATTTAGAACAAGAAATACGATCGACAACAAATGTTCTACTAAGTAATCACGAAATGGTTGATCAAGAAAATGAAAATGCTATACAATTGCAGGAGTTACCTAATGATTTAAACGTACAAGTGCTAATGGAACGAAACTCTAATACCCATAATGTACAAAGGAAGAAGAGGAAATTTGGCAGAGGATTAAAATTTAACGAGTTTTGAATATATTGTGTTCCATTTACATATGTAATAAACAGTTATTTGTGCTTTTAATATAAGTTTTTACTAACTTGTTGTTGTTCTATTTTTTTTATACTTTTTGAAGATTAATTTAACTGCATTTTAGGATTAAAAAAAATCTTACATGTTTTACTACAGAAATGGATTCTGCAAATTGTAGCGAATAAAAAGCATATTTTCATACAGTTGCTGCAAGTTGCTGAATACCAAAATTTTGTAGTTTTGCATTATGAAAAATTATGTAAGTATGTTATATAAGTTCTAGCAACTTTGAAGAAATTACATCGTAAAATTATTTGTTTATCATGGGAAAAAAATAATTAATTAAAAATTGAAAAGTAGGTCCGGCATATATGACCCAGGCCCGGTGCAAAAAATGTATATCTCATTTTTTAGATTATTATCAACTATTAAATATACATTTTTTTTTTTCAAAATCGATGGCTATTATGAAAATATTGCTATATCATTATTATGGGAGATTTATTTGTGTAACATTATTGTGCTATCAATCAAAAAAACAACTTGCATTTTTATTGAACACTTTCTATTCAATTCACAAAGTATTTTATGTAATCATATTAATATTTTATATTCGTTACTAAGTATCTGTGCTAATAAATAAATAAAAAGTAATAAATTTACAATCTCAAAACTAGATAGAAACTCAAAGTAGGCAGATGCAATTAAAACGCTGTAGGTGGGCGACATCGACAGCCCTATCTCATGCTTACGTACCGCGCGGCTGTAGGCACTTATTTAAAGGACACGGTCGAGTTACAATTCTGTATAGGGGTCAGTTTCAAAAAAAAATGTACATTTTAACATTATTTTTGTCCCAAGTAGATTATTTTCATTCCAAACCAGTTAATAAAAGACATGTTCTTGATTAATTTGAATAATTCACATACTTACATTGCGACTAATACCATTTTCTACTCAGACTAATATAATATTTTATTATAATTTAATAAGTTATTATCAAATAGAGGATCCCTATAAAAAAAAACGTGTCCCATTTAAAGGTAACACCAAACTTTACAGATCAAAAATATCCGTACCAGGCGTGAATAGGTTGATAAGTCGACTTACATATATATTTTTTTAATGTATAATATGCATTAGGATTGTTTTATTTATAGGGTGAACAAATGATTAAGTCGATAGATCTGTTTTACCGCACACAGCAAACATGTGAATGTTTAAATAACTCTCTTACTAAAGGGTACAATGTGACATCTTGAGATATTACAACATACAAATTATAATTTTTAATTATTTATACAACTCAACATGTCATTATAATACTGCCAACTATTAACGAACAACACGAGATATTGATTTATTCCAACAACCTTTTTAACGTTTTAATAGTATAAATCAAGTTGTTTAGTTATTACCGCATCGAGATGCGTGTGTATTTTGTGACAAATAGATCTATCGTCTATTACATTTTCTATCCGTTGCGCGTGTGATGAGACAAAGTGATATGTTAAATAGAGACAGCTGCAGTTTTGGCGGTTTGTCCTTAAATCACGCCATTTTTTACGAAGGAACTCGCATGTCTTTCGTGTCACTTGTTCTAGTGTCCTTGACCTAGTTTTATTTGTTTTAGCGCGTGGTGAATAATTAAAAACAAATAACAATTGTGTGGTTGTATTAAAAGTAATAATGGCGGCAAGAAGATACCGTTTTTTAGAAGAATTACGTGGAAAATCATTGAAAGATTCTGGTGAGAGTTTAGAATGTAAAAGTGTAGATTTAATTGAGTGCATGAGTAACTGTCTAGACTACGCAGAAAATGAGGCTTTACTTTATTTGTAGTGAAAACGCTACAACGCCTTTGCGGAATCGGATCTTGATGAATTTTGGTAGATGTTTTTTTATCAATTACTTATACTTATTTATTTACCGTTTCAGAAAATTCATGTAAAGGGAATTTACAGCCATTGGAAACAAAAAGTTCAGATTGTAAAGAGGATACTAATGAGTGTGCAGTTTACGAAGACAACATATCTGAAGGTAAGTTACATAATAACTAGAGATGCGCCGAATGTTCGGCCGAATATTCGTATTCGGTACATTCGGCATATTTTTTCATTGTTCGTATTCGGCCGAATATTCGGTAAATTTGCCGAACAATTACCAAACATTGAAATTATTGTTAACATAAAAAAACGGAATGCATACCAATATTATAAATGTAAAAATGTGAGATGGGTCGGTGGCAAACGCTGCCGCACCGCGGCTCTTGCAGAGCGCCGCACCGACACGTTTACAAAACTGTTCACCGTGCAGAATTGAACCGAATGATTCGGCCGAATATTCGGTTCGGTACATTTTGGACCGAATATTCGGCCGAACATTCGTATTCGGTTATACCTACATTCGGCGCATCTCTAATAATAACATAATAAAACATCACGCTTGTAATCCCGTAAGAGTTAGGCAGAGGTGTACCTAGCAGTACACCCACATTTCGTAAGTTACGTTTAAGTCCCTATAATAACGGACGAACCATCAACCAGGTGCAAATCCAGATTCCATGACTGCTACTGAGAATTTGCTGATGGATAAACCTAATGACACTTTGTCTTAAACGAGAATCGAACGCAGGACCTCTTGCTCAGCAGTTGTGCTTGCGCTTACTTAACAACAACTTATTAGCTTCTCATTTTTAGGCTCCCGTACGAAAAATTATAAAGAAACCCTTTTCTTCTTATCGTGTAATAAACCACAAATTGGGTTAATCTGGTGTCAGAGTTTTCCAAGCCGCCTTTTCAGGCCTCTGACATGGCTTGTTTTTTAAGAATGCTATCTTACAACAGCATCCGGGACCCACAGCTTAACTTGCCTTCTAAAGCATGGAGAAGCTCGAGATTTTTTAAATTTGGTCACCCATCCGGCTACCAGCCTTTGTGAAAGTTGCTTAACCTCAACAATCACAGGGCAATGCGCTAGCCACTCGCGCCATCGAGCTCTTCGAGAAACCCTTTTAAGACCACTCGTGTGTCTGTCCATCTGACACAGCCAATTTGCGCATAGAAAATCTAGCGCGTATGGCCCTCTCTAAATAGTTGTTATTTAAATAATTGCGGGTATCAAATAAATGGGTACTAATATTTTTATTATTATTTTAGGAACATCATTAAAAGGAATAGATGTAGATTGCGAAAGGTTCCATTTAAACTACGATTCTGAGAAAAGCCTGAATAAAGATGTAAGCACTCAACAAGTCAGCAATATAAACCTCGATGAAGATCTATATCTTTCCGATGACAGTGTCGCTGATCCAGACTATGAATTACCGAAAAAGTGCAATGAGTCTAATACAGATAGTGAGATAGAAGAACTATGTAATCCAATAATAACTTCAGCCCAAGTTCACGTGAATTTACCATGTCAAGGCCAAGATGAAAGTTTATCTATTTTTAGCAGTAGTTTTGAGATTGATAGATTTCTTACAAGTAGTCCAGTAAATAACAATCCTTCCAATAATGATCTACGTTCTGTCATAGATAGAATAGCAGTTACTAATGACGAGACTATATGCGAAGTGCTGCCTGATGTCTCAGAAGATCAAATACATACCAAAAAAGGAAAGGTAGATCAAGGAAAAAGAGAGAAGAATGTAAAAAACTAAGAAATTCTGGTCAAAGCTACGTTACAGAAAAAGGTAAAGAAATTGCTGCGAGGCAAATGCGAGCACTAAGTTCTTGTAGACTGAAATGTATTGAGCGGTTTTCTGAATTAGAAAGAAAGCTGTGCTTTGATGAATATTGGACTCTAGGAAGCAGAGATCGGAGGGCAGCGTATATTGCCAGCCATATTACAATATTACCAAAGAAAACACAGAAAACCGACAGCAGAACAATTAATAGAGATTGCTACTGCAAATATACATTAACAATAAATAATGAAAGCAGACCAATTTGTAAAGATTGTTTTTGCAAAACTTTTGGGGAAACAAAAGGTTTCATTAACATTGTAATGGATAAAAAGAAGCACTCTGCAACCGGAATCATTCCAACTGATACAAGAGGACATCAGCCATCTAAAAATAAAAGGACTGTTGATAATTTAAAATCTGCTAAAGATCACATCTTATCATTCCCAAACTACGAAAGTCATTATTGCAGAAATAGAACAAATAAAAAATATTTATCATCAGACCTTTCTATAGCTGCTATGTATCGTTTATATAAAGAAAGTTGCCCAAATCCTATTTCACTTAAATTGTATTCCCAGTGTTTTCACGATTTAAACTTATCATTCAAAAAACCGGCTAAAGATACTTGCCACACATGCGATCTTTTGAATACAAAGATAGCGTTAACAGAAGGAGAGGAAAAGACCAACTTTATAGTGGAGCTGAGAGAGCATCAATCACAAGCCGAAAACGCTTATGCAGAAAAAAGAAAGGATAAAGATGAAGCAAAGCGCAGTTCAAATTTTCGAGCATATGCATTTGATCTTCAGCAATGCTTACCTACGCCATTCCTGAAAACGTCTGTCTCTTTTTATAAGAGACAACTATGGTCTTACAATCTTACGATTCATAACTTAAGAGATGATAAAGCTACTTGTTACATGTGGGACGAAACCATCGGTGCTCGAGGAGCGAATCAAATTGCTTCGTGTTTGTGGCATTTTTTACAAAATTTGCTACGTGAAGTTACAGAGGTCACATTTTATTCTGACACGTGTGGTGGCCAGAATAAAAATAATGCTGTTGCAATGATGTTCATGTATTTATTGCATGTGCATCCAACTTTGGAGACAATCAATCATAAGTTTTTGATTAGCGGACATAGCCACATGGAATGTGACTCGGATCATGCCCTAATTGAAAGGATTAACAAGAAAACGCAGCTTAGAATAAACGATCTTAACGATTGGATGCAACTGATAAGATCTTGCAAGATTAATAACGCATTTGCCATTGTACCCATGAAACTAGACAATTTTCTCAATTTTGCAGAATTGAGTTCGAAGAAAGGTCCATTTACTATTAAAAAAAGGATGCTTGTGGTGAAAATTTTTATGGCAACCCGTGAAATGGCTGCAGTATAAGAAGCCTATCGGAGAAATACGTTTTAAGACAAATTTTGACAATGAAAGCCCTTTCAGAGTCATAAATTACAGGAAAAGAGGTAAATACAATTTAGACACTATACAATTAGATGTTGTTTCAAAAGAGACTTTACCAATAAGTAAAGAAAAAAAGAAGGATTTGATGGATTTATTGCCACTTATAGATACTATTTTTCACGAATTTTATAAAAACATAAAAACTGACGGTGACGTATCCAACATCGATCCTGATTTAGACTTCGATGACCCTGATGCAGAAGGAGAGGGAGACGAATTCAACTAATTCGATAACTTTGTTTTTGAAATAAAAATAATTATTTTGCAATTATTAGTTTTTTTACTATCTATACATACCTACTTACATAATATCACTATTTCAGTCCCATAAGAGGCAGGCAGAGATTATACGTCTTATTACTTTTATTTTTTTACATACGTACTTACAGTAGGTATAACTTGATAACTCATTGGTGAACAACTTGATATGTCATTTTTTTATTATAAATAGGTTATATTCATTAAATAATCATAAGTTATCTGAAAACTCAAAGCAAATGAATTACATTGAGATAAAAATATATTTAATAACATAAAATCTGAATTTACAGAAAAAAAATAAAATTAGAAATGGCTGCCCTGAAAAATGTGCATTTTCGACTTATTAAGTTATTCACGCCTGGTACGGATATATGGTCTAGTTTATTAGGAAAAAAATAACATGAACTCATTACCTATGAACTTAAGTTTAAAAAAAAAATTGAAATATTAATATTATTTATTATTATTTTTATAATAATATATCAAAATTTGTCCCATTATATTTTCATTTTTGTTATTCCAGTTTATAACATAATTTTTATCATGAATT